GAAGTTGCCCCGGCCCGTGGCAGGGGATTGGAACTAGATTGTCTTTAAGGTCCCTTCCAACCCAAACCATCCAATGATTCTATGAATATTTGCTGTGACTTGGTTATTGGCCACAAGGCACAACTATGGTGCAGCCTAACTGCGAGTTAACCGTGGCCTATTCATGCGAGCTAACTGTACCTATGACTCAAGGGTGCTATCTCCACAGAACGTCCATGATACCTGCTTGATGCACACTCTCCATCTAAGTGCTCATTGCTACACCTGCACCCAGCACCCTGGGGTGTGCAGTGCTGCCTCAGCAGCCATGGACAGCCTCCTCACCTCCCTACCCTGGCGCTTCCCCTCCTGGGGGCTGGCATGGCTCTCTGGGCAGCCCCACAGGTAGCTGAGTTACGGAATCCATCCATCCATCCGAAAGCAGCATTTCTTTTCTGGGCTGTTTTTCAACCCAGGCATTTTTCTGATTGAATTCATTGTCCAATGACTGTCGCTGTGCAAGCAGACCGGTGTGCACAGCAGGACTGAACAGACCAGTGGGGCTGCTCGGCCAGTGACTACCTGCTTTTAGACACACCAGCGTGCAGGGGTGTAGTGTTATCTCTAGCTTTGAGAAGCAGTGTTGCAGCCATGAGTCTTTGGAATTTAGCTGAATTGATTTCAATCCTGGGCCATGGCGTTTCTGTAGCACAGAAAGGACACACTCAGATTCAAGCAATTCTCCCCGACACATATGCACATGCATGTATCTTAGCAGAAACTGTGCAGCTAGCTAATTGGTTCTTTGTTATCAACTGTAGCAGCTGGGGTAAAAAGCTCAAATTTGGCAGGATGGTGGGGTTTTGTGCCACTGAATATAGTAAAATTTAATTGCACTTAGAGAATGGTAAATATTTAATTATGGAACTATTAATTTACATTGGAGTTTTTCAGTGACTCACTACAGCCAGATGGCAAAAATAGTTAGAATTCCTAAAGGTATTTTCTCGCTAAACAGAAGAATACAAGGTTTAAAACACTATGACCTTCTGCCTCAATGCCTTCATCACGGAACAAGTGATGCTAAATATTTCAGCTCTTACGCCTAAAGATAACATCTGGAATGGGATGCCTGGATGAACAAGAACTTTTCAATTCCCATGCTGATCTAAAGCGCTGCGAACAGTTCTTGTTTGCCTCATAAGATTTGCAGTAGGGGCTGGAGAAACTGGAGTGATGACACCTGCACATGTCCAGAACATCAAGTTTGTGGGTAGGTTTGTTAAACCCTAAGTCAAACAACGCTTAGTGTTTGAATTTTAACTGCTGGTTGATCTTTGCTTAAAAACAAAACTGAGCCTTCCGCACATATATATGTGCTAGAGATATTATATGAAAAACTCATTGTTAGCTTGCTGTACTGGCAATAATCTCACTCCAAAGCAAAAGCATACACTATGGCACAAGAGAAGATAATGGAGCTATAAATTGCTTGTTGGCTTCATTCATTATTACTGAATGTAGTGCAGAAGTAAAATGTAGGAAGCAAGGTCCACAGTGAGCACAACTGAGCTTATAACACCATTGAGTAGAAAGTCAGTTGCAATGCACAGAGACAAGGCAAAGGAGCTAAAGGTACGTGACATGGTCTAAGAAACCCTCTTCTATAGTGCTTGTATATTTATATGTCTCCTTATTCCAAAACATGGCTTGTTAGGGGATACTTTTTTTTTTATTCCAGGTGACGATAATTTCAGAATTTCCCTATTGCAGTGTAAGGGTTGAAGAAATTATACATTTCCCAGATATTATCATACCTTTATTAGGAAAATACATGGTCTCTATGCCTGAACTCTGACACAGGAATAACTAGTGCAAAATTAGTTTTTTTCCCAGACAGCTGTTGCAGCAGATAAATTTATAACGATTTTGATTCAAATTGCTTCATTTTGGTGCCTTTTTTCCAGAAATCCATTTGTATTACATGCCTTCCTCTCTGGCAGGCATGTAGCATTACTAAAGAAGCATGTCTATTTCTCAGCCTTCTCTTATTGGGGTTTCTTGGGTCTTATAGACAGCTTTGAGGTGTTGTGGCCAGTGATGTTAAGTGGCCCAGCATCTGTGTCTCCACTTTTTCTGTGCTTTCCTTTCCTGACTTAGCATCCATACTGACTTTCACCTGACAGATCAGGCACTTTCAGACCCCCATGTGGCAATCCAGGGTATAACATTTCTGCCCTGGAATAACGGAAAATGCCGATGTAACATTTACAGCTTTACCTCTTTTGGTGATAGTATAGAAATGTAATCTTCATAAATAAGTCTTGCTTTTTCTTCAATAACTTTCTTGTTCTGTTCCTTCTTTAGATCTTCACATGCAAGCCAGAAAAGCAGGTTCTCCTCACTATACTCTGTTCGAAGAAACTCTCTGAAAAGGTTCCTCCCAGCTGGTGTTTTCATCATCTTGTCAAAATTCTGAGCCCAAGACAAAATTTCATCTGCAGTAGGGTTTTGGCTGCAAAAGCAAAGTATCATTACAAATATGCTTCTATTTTTGTAGCAGTGTTTTCATACGTTCATCCAAAAATTCTCCTTTCAACTGCACTTCAGTCCAGCGTGAAAACTGGAAGCAACAACGCTTCAGCAGTGACAGGGGAATTTTGTTCACTCTTCACTTGTTCATTCATTATCTCAATAGCCCACTAAACGTGTTTAATCTTACAAGACATGCACTTGGCTTTCTACAAGTTTTCTACCAGTGTTGTTAGCCATCAGACTAAAAACTAAAATCCCACAATAGCATTGAATTCCTGCCTCCGCAATTAAAGAAGATGTGATTTCAGGGAGCTGGCAATAGGCTCTCTTTCGTGAGGAGTTTAGATGACACCTGATGGCCCTGCTTGCTTCTGATGGTGTTTGGCCAATCACTGGCTGCCACACAATTTGGTTCAGGAAGGACAAGGAAAACAAAAGGCTCTTGGCAGCCAAGAGCATACTAATGAGGCCCAACAAAATAGTAATTCAGAGAGCTTTTAAATTAGCATATTTCTCTGTGCTTGTACCTAAGGGTTGCTAAGCTTCCCTCTGTTTGGTGCTATTGACCTGAATGATGATCTATTGGCATGAGATGTGGTGGATGTTGCTGGCAGAATTGGAGAGAGAAGAAATGGGAAAAAGTCCTTATTCCCATTTTCTGAATGAAACTATTTGTGGTGTGTAACAGTGGGCACATTGGATAAGTGATCAGAAGACTAACTTGTGTCACTAATCCATTAATGTACCAATGAATAGCTTGAGAAAGTAATACTCCAAGTTACTTAACAACAATTAAATATTTCAGACTTAATTCTGATCACTCACTCTCCCTTTCCTGACAGGATCCAACACAAGAGCTTTATTAGCTGTTGCTAATAGCTTCTGTGTAATCATGTTGCACAGAAAGTGACATTTGTCTATATGATTTCTCTTCAAGTGCATTTGTCAACTCCTACTCTGCATGCAAGGCAGGCTGGATGATGGGAAGCTATTTGTGATAGATTTTAGGCTGTCCAAAAGATCTAATCAATGAAAAAGTGTTTAACATTTAAACTATACAGCAAAATAATTGTATTCTGAATCAAAAAGTATAAACAGAGGTGTTTGAAGGTGAAGCCTTCTCTCTGAGGAGAAAGAAAAGAACGTGCTGAGGTGGATGGAGCTGACAAGCAACCTGTGCTCCCTCGCTGTCTGTTGGGAAGCTCTCTTCACGACAGCATTTTGTGAAAATTTCTGACATCAGCTTCTCATAAATGACCAGAGTGGCAATGAGGACAATGAGTTGTTCGGGTTGCTTTTACCATCAATCATTAAGTTTTAATTTACTTTTTATGGGATTAGAGAACTCAAGGCCACTGATATGTTAGCATTTTTGCCAACACACTAAACATGAGCCCAAGCTTTAGACAGAAATAGAAGCTCAGACTTTCAGTACGTGTCAGTCTGGTTTTCAATGTATGTTTCCTCAGTTAATTCCTGTGGAACGACAGTCCAAGCTGTTTTATGGGAGGTAGCCATGTTAAAAATCTGACTGTGAAGTACTAACCTGTACTAACTGTGCCTGTTAGGTTTCCTTCTTGTCTGGATAAACAGAAGAAAATGATCCCACAGATAATAGAGGCTCCATTTAGCGACCCACAGGTCTATGGAACCATCCATGCACTTCCTATTTCTCCCCGCAGTTCTTCCTCACAAATAAGAAACCGTAAATAAGCCTGATTTATTAATGTCTCTGCTGGTATTTTATTGTCAGGCCAGATTTTGCTTCCTTTTATATAGATTTTTTTTGAGGAAAAGTAATTAAAAGGATATTCCAGAAGGCAGTTCTTGATACTAGTTATAGGTAAATTGAAAACATTTACTAGACAACAGTTTGATCAACTTACCATTCTTCTATGACTTGGATACTCTCCATTTTGGTCGTATGTGTTGGCCTTCCTGCATTGTCCCCTCTATCTTCATTCCTAACAGTGAGGCTGCAATGTAGTACAACACTTTATTTTGTCTAGAGAAAGTTAATTTAAAACAATGACTATAGTAATGAAAACTTTCAAAAGGTATAAACCTATCTAAAATGTAATTTTTCACTCTTGTCCCTAAGATTTTGGAGATAAATTTTTGATACTGACTTTTCCCCTTAATTCTGATTAATATTAATGAACAATTTCCATTAGCATGTCTAATTTTTTACAAGCTCACAGTTTATCCACTGAAAGATGGATACAAACTTAGAGATCACTTTTGGAGTGATTTCACTTAGTAAATTGAGAATATTAGTAACAATAAGGGTAAGAGGGATAAGAACATCTGAATTGGACATTGATGTTTTGGTGCCCCATCAGTTCTGGATGGTTGTTCAGTCTTTATGAACATTCCCTTTTTTCTCTCCAGGATACGGTGGCAGTAGGTGTCTCAGATACAGAACTTAGCACGTGGCAGCTCCTTATGATTTCCTCCTCTGACCTAACATCTTTTTCATTCCAAAAAGCAGAACTTAATGGCCTCTCAACAGAAAGGCATCCATTACCCTCATATTACCACAAGTAAGGAAAAGAAAGACCTCCTTTATGGAAGGATGGTTTTAGGTGGTGGTTTGTTTGTTGTTGGTTGTTTTTTTTTTTAAAGTAACTGGCATTACTTATTTTTCTGTAAATATCCTTTTAATCGGATTTGCTTTAGTGGTAGTGACTTTCTGTGTGTGTGCTGTCTATGAACATTCTGGAACACGATATTGCCAGCAAAAACACAATTCCTGATAACTACTGAAATAAGGCACATTTTGAATGACCTAAGTATTCGTATAGGGAACCTGGTTCCATTAATTAAGCTTAAGAAGTGGAACATAGTAAGTAGATGGAGATTTCCCTTTGTCAGGTGTTTCCTATGTGTCCAGTTGAGAGAAAACAAGCAACCAAGCAAAAAATCCCCTCTCCCAATCCCAAGAGAGCTCACATTTTGAATATTGAGTGTTCACCATACAATGATGCTCTCAGTCATCCTAAGTGGCAAGATAGAAAAATATGTTGGTAATATAAAGCTTCTCCCTCCCACCACTAGGCTGAGTAACTTCTGCTCAGCTCTAAGAAGAAATCCCAGCTCTGAAACATTTTTAGCACAAATAATCTTTCTCTCTAGTCCCTCTCCACTGATGAGTTTCTTCAATTTTTTTCAAAAGTTTGGCAGAGTTAATAGATGATCTCAAATACTCTTCTGAAAACTGGAAGTTTAAGCTCCCAGGTAAAGCAGAGCACATATTAAGACTTAAACATTACAAAGACGTACACTTGCAAACGAAGCTGTTTGATACTGGTTGCTCCTTCACTTACCTGCCAAGACCTTAGTTCAGGCCCTTGGTCCTGCTTCCCCTGTTACAGCGTAGGAATGCAGCTCCAGTGCTGCTAAGGTGTTAGGGTGTCATCAACTGCTGCAGGAGAAACAACACATCCTGAACTCTGGGGTTGGCAGGTAAAAAGCCTTTCTGACTCCTCTGACCTGTTACTCAGTCTATAGAGGGAGCACCCAGGAAAGCCAATGGGAGTTCCGTATACAGGAGGAGAAAAAAAGGGACCATCCACTTTCTGTCTTGTAATCTTTAAGTCCACACATGTCACTTTGCATCTGGCCAGAGCACAAAGTGGGGGTGAGGGAGAAGCAGGGAAGTCACGGTAAAAAGCCTTTCTGACTCCTCTGACCTGTTACTCAGTCTATAGAGGGAGCACCCAGGAAAGCCAATGGGAGTTCCGTATACAGGAGGAGAAAAAAAGGGACCATCCACTTTCTGTCTTGTAATCTTTAAGTCCACACATGTCACTTTGCATCTGGCCAGAGCACAAAGTGGGGGTGAGGGAGAAGCAGGGAAGTCACAAAGGTTCTCTCTCTCCTTCCTTTTGCAGTCTGTAGGTAGAGCAGCGTTTGTCTTCTCTGCTGGGTGCAGAGAACCGAGTGTTCTTTGGTTCCATGGAAGAGTAACACCATGGAAGGAGGAAACAGCTTGTGCAGGTTGGGAATGTAACAGGCAGTTCACCTGAGTCTTTCCAAAAAAGAATGAAGCTGTCCGTTTTCTTTCCTCCATCACATGAGCAGCAGCTAAGCTGTACTGAGATAATTTAGTTGTTGGGCAGTAGACATCCAAGGTTTGGATGTAGAGTTTTACTGGAAGTAGAAGGTGACTCATCTGAGAGCAGTTAATCTAATTTAATTTGACATTTGGGATCAAATACTGTTTGCTTTGCTTATGCAAAATCTTTGCTAAACTTAGGAAAACCAACATGGACTGATGAAGGTGGAATACAAGGAGTGGTGAGCAGGAAAGAGAAACAGGAAAACGGACAAGAAAGCCACAAAGACTTCACTGCACTTTTTTATCGAAGGAGGAACAGATAGGCCCTATGCATTTTGATTATCTACAAGACTACATCTCAATTAAAAGGTCAGATGCTGGGTCCAGAGTGTAGCGTGCAGTCTTCTGGTACCTCTACCAGAGTGAGAATGTGAGTGCACACTTGGCCCTAATTCCTTCTTCTCACCATTCATAGCTGGACTTCAATAGCTGAAGTTAGTCAGAGTTGCAAACTAGGGAAGACTCTACTGAAAGGAATGTTATATTTGGTTGGAACAATTTCTCAGGTTTGGGTATTGTATTTAAAATTGTGCTAAATTTATAATATGTCGTGGCCTAAATTCTTCATTATGTTTCCTGTGACAAATGCTAACACTACATTTCAACTTCTATTTATCTACATCTGTCAAGGCTGAAGTTCCATCGGATACATTACTTTTGATATGTTTTTCCTGTGAAAGAAACCATCACTTTTATACAGAAGTACATTCAGTTCAGACATGTTCTGTTTTCACTCACGGAACTGGTTCACGTTTGCTTAGGAAAAAAAAAATTAAATATTTACACATTTGTGACTGCAAAGCTATTTTGAATGCAGCCTTTAAATAACTCTGATCACAATAACAGATTGCTACCTTTTACCTCAAGATGACAACACTGCATTGCTATTTGCTAAGTTGCTATCTTCAGTTGAAAATACCCTGTCCACATTTCTGTGGAATTCAAGCAGTCCTCGGCAGCGAAAGCACCCTGCATACCTGGAGTTGGTGTCCTTGACACATTACTCCATCATAGAAGCTACCTGAGTATGTCAGAAGAATTATGCTGTATAGTGTAAAACTAAACAGAGCAAAAGTAACAGGATAAAGATTAACAAAATTATCTTACTTAGTTAAGACTTCAAGAAGAGAAAATTGCTGAAATGCCTTAGTTAAATGGAAGGGAAGTGTTCTAAAGAGACATCTGATGTAAATTAACATCTATGGTACCACTAATATTTACTAGTTGGAGTATATCCAGGAGATGTCTTTAAAATTTAGAGATGTAAATTACCCATGCTAAAAGCACAAAAAACCCTAATGCTTTAAAAAGAGAGAGTTTGAGATGTTTAAAGGCAGAGTTTAAGTGAAAAGCAGAAGCACTGGTTTGTTTTCTGTTCCTATAGAAGATTTGTTCTGTCCACTTTTATGTTGATTTTATTGTTCTGGAGAGTACAGTAAAAAGTATTTCAGTAAACCCAAGTGTCCTGAGCTCAATGTACCTTTCAAATATATCTTGGCTTCCTGACTTCTACAAAAATTATAGTTTCTTTAATTCCTGCAACAGTATTATTATAAGTAATTTCTGTTTGGATTGAGTGTATTTCTATTTTGCAACTTCACAGACTTTATAAATAAAAATGTTAATGACTAGCAACTACTTGAAAAAGTATACAAATTGAACAAATTTCCTGATATAAGGTTAAACTGGTTCAGGATCCTAGTTGATATGTTTTTGGAAGAACTACTGGGATTCAGAAAACCAATCTTTATTTATTTAGCTACTATTATTCAGCTGTTAATATTGACATTCAGCAATTAAATAATTGTTCTATTGAATAATTACTTAGCTAAATCAGTATTGCAGGCCAGTGGTGCATGGTAAGGTAAAAAAATACAAGCTAATTGGATAAAATCATCAAGAAAATAGGAGTAATTTCAGAGCAAAACTCTCACTGGCTTTTCCTCCAGGTGTTTCCAGCCGGTGGTTTTAGCCTTTTTTAAAAGTTGCTTAGCATCCCTACTGTTGCATTTACCTTCCACTGCCATTGAGAATCTGAAAATTATTTAGAGCTTAGACCTGATCTTTCATTCTGTATATCCAGTATAAAAATAGTCTTTAATTGCTTCCAATTGATTTTTGTGTGCAGATAGCCTAAATCTTGTGAATGAGTGAAATTACTGTTACAACTATGGCAAAAAAAAAATGTCATTGTGTCAGGTGCAGAGATGAATATTCTGCCCATGCATGACTAACACTAGTTACTACCTACTCAGGTATTTTCTTGGTTATGTGCATCATATGCAGTATATCTTCACTGTATTTTGCAATTACCTCTTGCATTGAAGACAATGTGATGATTAAATCCTTTTGCCTTAGTGGTGTTTTTTATGCTCCCAAGAAGATAAGGAGTAGAAATCAAACTGGGACACTGTGAACTAGCTGGTAGGCTATTGCATTGCCATTCAGGAAATCTTTGCTCAATTCCTACTTCTTGGCTGAAATTTGTGGATGCTAGGCCCTGCAGGGTAACAATTACGTTTTAGGATGAACCTGTGTATGGCGCACAGTAGGGCCACGAGCCCTCTAGTCACCATTGTAACACAAAAACCTTCCTTATTCCAGACCAAAGGTCACATCAAGTCAGTTGCACATACATAATCTAAAGGCAGAACTTGGTTTTCAGATGAAAATTAATATTCAGTCAATATCCTCTGCATAACAGATGTTCTGACATGTTTTGTTCACTGATCTACCCTTTGAAAGAGTATATCTCACTAGCACCACTCTATCCTACTCCTAGGAACTTTTATTATCATAAGATCAAGAGGCAAAATATTTTTAGGTCATAGGTCCAAAAGCCAAGAAGGATTTTTTTGATGCTTGAGTTCAGCTTCTAGTGCAAGTGAGCTACAGGCAGGACTGCTGTAACTTGAATAATGGTTAAGTGGAGGCTTTCTTAAAAAAACCCACAGTCCCTCCCCACCCTCCCAAAAAAAAAAAACCAACCCACAGGAGATCAAGATTTAATTGTGATTTTCAAATTTCACTGGTAGATGATGTAAAATGAGCATTCACCTAAAATTTTGACAAACATCGGTTGAATTTACATAATACATTCAGATAGGAAATATTTTTTCAGGGTCATTTAGAGGATGAAAAACCTTCCTTTAAATAAACAGGTTAGTGCACGATTTGAAACACCCTTCCCATGGGACTGCAGTGGGGTAGATGTCTTTCAAGCAATTCCACCTTGGTGAAAATAATAGAATACTCATTACACAAGACAGAAACAGGAGACTCAATGGCAAATCATCATGTAATGAATACTTTTTAGCTTTTTATATAAAGTACAATATTTTATACATCATTGAGGTGTGGGCCTGAAAATAAGAATATATGATTAGTGCATTTTCCTGTAGTGAGGGTAAGGTGGTTTTGAAAACCCTGAGAAAAAGATGGGCACAGTCCCTAGAACTTTCACCAGCTAGGTAAATACTCTTCAATTCAAAGTCGTTGTGCCACTGCCTGTCTCCAAGCTCTTTGATTCCTTTACTTTTATTATAAGCGTCTGGCTTAAAATGTGCTGTTTGAACAGAAACATATTCTTCCTGAATTTAATTTGGATGGAGAAAAAGCACATGCCAGTATCTTTTTCATTTTTGACTGTAGTTCAATCTGACCATACTGTCTTCTAAACTGTGGGTCAACAGTCAGCAATTGTTTGAACAGCCCTGTTCACAAGTTCACTCCTACATGCTGAGGCACACTTTGGCAGGAGTCAGAGATGGATGTGTTCCCTGTATGCTGTATAGTAATGCAGCAGACAACTACACTGTCACTCTTTAATTTCTTTCATGAAACTGAAGATAAAATTGTTTTCTGACACCTTGTTTTTCTGGCAGCTGGTATATTTAAGCCTGATGGCAGTGAAAACTAGTCAGGGTTGTGTTTGTTTATGAACAGAGGAGCATGATGATTTTGCTATACTTTACAAAGCAATAATAATGAAAAATAACTGCAGGACTATCATGATCCATTCATAAAGAACAATACAGCTATGTTAATCTCAAAATCACTGTCTAGTCAGTAATGCTATCTTCTATCTCCCTTTTAATGGCACAGACATAAGCATCCCTGAGAATGAAATATTACATAAACAATATTATCCAAGGATTTTTTTTTTTTTTTAGTCTCAGTAAATGGAAAAAACCTGCTTTTATCAAAGTTAGGAAAATAATTTACTTTTTGTTACAATAAGTAAATAACATCCAGAATAATTTTCTGAGAAAACTGGAGTTAGAGCCATGATTTTTATGAATAAG